TCTTCATCTTAAGTGCTTTCTTTGTGAATATTGATCTACAGTATGCTTGTTTACTCTGCCATTCAACTAATTTAACTAATCAGGATATCCTCTAATTAATTTGATTTAAACTTGTAATCGATTGACATCGCTGACTAAAACCATCCGGTCTTTTCTATGATCGTCTGAGAATGATCCAGCTGCTCTGCAACTGAATCCTTATTCGTCAATTTAGGGGTAGAGTTATTGACATGGTTTTTCTCCGATAAATATAGCAATATTAATATAATTTCACGAATAGCTCTATTTAGGAGGAAAAATGACTTAACATTGATTGGTGTGATTTAATAATGGTGTGAATCATGCATAAAAATAATAAACAAATTGCCAGCAAGAATAATTATAGAGCAAAGAAAAAAGCAAAATAAACAATGCTTTTTGGTTTTCTGGAGAGTCAAACAGTATTCAGGAACAGAAATGGAATAATAAAATGTCAAACAAAACTGTATAGCATTCATTGTATTAATAATTAAGTAAAATGATCCTCATTAAACTTACAAATGCTGTGTGTTATTTTGCCAAATACTTTACACTCTCTTGAAACACCTTTAAAACACATGCAAATGATAAAGTTTCACTCTGTTTTGGTTATACTTTGCAATGACTCCACAAATCTCATGTATTCTCAATTGTTGATCAACATTAATCCCAACTCAATATTGCACATACTGCTATGTGACTATTGCGGATACTGCGATATCAAAGCTGAAACTATATATTGTGCAGCCCTCGTATGGTGCGGTCAGAGTGTCATCATTGAAAGCTCTGTTATAACTCAGCTCTGTGAAAAAATAACATTTTTAAAAAAAAATACTACCACTCATACTCATACAAAATCCTCAGTAAAAGCGTAAAAACTCTGATTTCCATACAAGTACACTCACATAACTATACGTACGTTAGGAAAAATTGACAACGGGTCATTGAATTATTTGAAAATAATGCACAACTAAAACAATTTTGACTGCTGTAGGCTTCAAAATAACTCAAATCACTCAGCATAGTGATATGAATCTCTAATATGGTGAAAACCTGCTTGCAACTTCTTTAGTTTGTTGTTCTCTGAAAACAATGGCACATCTTGGAATGTTCAAAAGTACATGTAGTTAAAAAATTTTTTTAATATTTGAGCCTCGAAAGCAGAAAACGGGAAAAACATTTGCTTCACGTGTCAAACCTTAAATAATGGTGCCTTACTTTTTAAAAATAGGTTTAATCCTTACCAGTGCTTAATCTGTAAATTGCGAGGTCTCGGAACAGATCGGGGTAATGGATCCGGCATGTTACCAGAGGAGGGAGAGGTTTCGCGGACAAAAGTGGTGGCGTGGATGTTGCGGATGAAACTGAAGAGCGGGGGCCGGGTGGTGTCGCGGACGAAGAGGGTTGGGGAGTTGCAAAAGAAAGTGAAGAGCGGGGGTGCTTGTAAAGAGGAGGAACGGTAAAATGAGGTGCCGGATAAGATTTCAGAGGAGTGGTATCCGGATATGTCTTGTTCCGGCACAAATGAGTGCAAAATGAGTGCATGACTTAAGTGATCAAATAACAATGGGATGAAAAAATGCCATTTCAATGATGACATTTTTGTCCCAAATGTCCTTAAAGTAGCTATTACTATATAGCAGTGCTTCCCAAACCTGTTCCTGGAGACACACCAACAGTACACATTTTCAACCTCTTTTTAATCAAACACGCCTGCAGAACATAAGAGACCCTTTCATTCTATAATTTTCCTGCGGCTTAGTCCTTTTATTTATCAGGGGTTGCCACAGCAAAATGAACTGCCAACTTATCCAGCATATGATTTACACAGCGGTTGCCCTTCCAGCTGCAACCATATAGCAAACATATAGCACGTGTCTTTGGACTGTGTAGGAAACCAGAGCACCCGGAGGAAACCCATGCAAACACAAGGAGAACATGCAAACTCCACAAAGAAATGCCAAATAGCCCAGCCTGGACTAAGAGACTCGAAAACCTAAAATGAATGGTTTAGATAAGGGAGACATCCAAATTATGTTTCGTTGCTGTGCCTTAATGAACAGGGTTAGGAAACACTGCTATATAGCATACTGTATGTACAGTATGCAGTGATCACAAAATTGTAAATGTCCAAAAGGGTTAAAAATATTAATTGTCACATGTATGCACAAAAAATCACTCAGTGTTCAGTGGTTTTAAGTCTTGTTCATAATGCACAGATAAAAATCAATCTGTCACATACTTAACCTGCATTTAGTGATGTGATGCCTCTAAAAAAAGGAAGGTAGCTTGAGATCAGAGTTCAGCCAGTGCTCCATCCATTACAGACTCCTTGCCCTGGTTTGTTACTCCGCAGACAGATCTCTCAGTGCTCTCCGCTCGACAGGTCACATCATTACTCGGCAAACTTTGAAGATGGACAGCTGCAAACTTTTGATCGCACTCATTAACCCAAACAACAGGCTCAGACAGACAACAATGTGGCGAGCGGGCTAATGATTTCTCATGGCCTTGAACATCCCTGCCGTCCCTCCAGGGTCACTCCGCGCATACAGACAACTGACTGATGAAAGAGCTGCAAAGCTTCCAGCTGTTCTCACAAATGCTACCATTGCCAGCATGGTCCAAATCAGGGTTCAATTCTAACCACCTCCCCTTAACCCACAGAACTCTCTATTATAGCATTTTGCTTGATTTCTGAAGGAGATTGGAGAAGGAGCTGACTTCCATGTCTGTTTTTATTTGGGGGAAAAAAGCCAACAAATGTGCTTTCTACACAATATTGAGGCAGCACTTTACAAAAAGGTTCAATCTGACATTATTAGTTAGCTGCATTTAATGTGTGTGAGCAATAAAAAATAAATCTAATGCCTTTATTAATCATATTCGATATTCACTCAGCATTTACTAACAGCTTATTGAAATCAAAAGCTTTATGTGAATACGGATTGATGAATTAACAATGAATACAGAAGTGCTGGAATGACGTCAAAACATGAAAGAATAATTCACCGGTTACCCTTGAGAGATTTGTCCAAGGCGTCTTTTTAATTTATATATTTTTAATTGGAATTGTGAAATGCAATGTAAATTATACACAGCCAAATTGAAAATGTGACTGATAAAATGGCAATAACATTCTTTTCAAAGGCCAGTTTGTAGCAGCGTCGACCAATGTGTATAAGCAGAGTTTTCAAAGTTCTAAATAGCAGAATATTCTGCGCTATTCGATCTGCTTATGTATGAAGCAAACACGCACACCGTAAAAGCAAGTCATGTCAAATAACCCACCAACAGGACATTTCTATGTAGTATACTGGTTCCAGCAGCTTGCAACAGCGCAACACTGGTAAACAGACACCTCTTGACACAATCACTGTTAAAAAATGTAACCCTTGACCACAAAACCAGTCATAAGTGTACATTTTTGCAAAGTGAGATTTATACCTTACATTTAACCTGCATGAATAAGCTATCCTCTGATGCATGGGTTGTCAGGATTGGACAATATTTGATTGAGATATAACTCTTCAAAGATTTACAATCTGAGAGTTAATATTGTAAAATAAAATCGCCTTTACAGCAGTCTAAATTAAGTGTTTAGTGTTGCATATAGGCCATACCAGCCAAAATTTGGCTCTGAAAATCCGGGAGACCAGGTGTGGGGTGGGGGGTCTGAATATTAAAGTTGAGAACAGGGTTAATAACTGTACTATGGAGCGATCGCATACTATACCAAAGCTGGCAAACCAGGGGTGTTACAGACTGTACCAAAGTTACAAAGACTGTTTTCCGGGAGACATAACAAAACAAGAGGCTAGTGGGAGATGGGTTTGAAATACAGGAGACTCCAGGGAAAAACTGGAGTGTTGGCAGGTGTATATTATAGGCCTACACGGAATCTGTGCGCACAGAAATTATCCGATCATTGAATCTATTTATTTACTTTTGTAAATGTGTGTAAATTTATATTTATTCAGTTTTTACATTTATTTCAGTAATTTTATTGACTAATATGAAAGTGTTGTTTCATTTATTTACAATACACTTAGTAAAGTTATATTTTCGTTTTTTTTAGTAGATATATTATATGAGAGATTTGCTTTGTTTACCTAATAAGTGGATCTAGATACATTTTCATTAAAAACATTAAAGTTAAAAAGGTATTACTTTAATTTCATATATTAAGTTTTTAGCTACTATACTCCAAAAATATTTTTTTTACAAAATTCTCAGCAAAAATGGCAAAAAATGTCCACAGATTCTTTCTGGCCCTACATATTACTACCGGTAATCTAAATAAAAAAAAAAAAAAAAAAAAAAAGTTGATATATTTAGAGTAGAAAATTGACTAAATATCTTCATGGAACATCATATTTCAGATCCTAAATATTGTCATAAACGTAAAAAAAAAAAAAAAAAAAAAGCTGTGAGAAAACAACAAGAAAGCATTATGAACATAATACAGAGTTACTGTATTATGATGTATGCACCAGCTTAGCAATTCTACACCAGTTCAACCTTGTATCATTTATTTTTATACAGTAGCTTCTGTATTGCAACTTCAGTTTAAAAGCTCTCCAAAGCTTTTCTTTTTTCACTCACACATGACCTTGACTGGATAATAAACAAAAGAATAGAACTACGTCATGCACATACTTTATCATCAGTCAATCATAATCCCACCAACTAATGGCAGTTCAAAGATGTTTACAAGATAAAACTGTGTATCAGTAAAGTTTGTTTTGACAAGCTGTCTTGAAGCAAACTCCAAATAAATTCAGAAATGATAATACGTCACAGAAGTTCATTCTTATAATTGCTTGAAGAAGATCTGACCTTAAAATGGTAAAACTGTATTTTCAAACATGATGGTTTAGTCAGCAGCCCTAGCCAGCATCCAGCTATATCAGCCAGATTCACCAACAGTGAATAACTGTATTCAGGTCTGGCTCAAAAGACGCACACACACACAGACTAACCTGGTTGATGATATAGATCCCATAGTCGATCTTCTGTCTGCGCAGGACTGGATGCAAATAGTGAAGCCAGTATTTCAGATGGTTGTCTCTGTGCCTGAAAGGGATGATGATGGCCACCTTTTGTTTTGGCCGGCAGTCCGGAGGAGTATATTTCCCGCCTTCTGTGACATTCGGGTTCTCCCTCTGCACCCGCTCCAGGGTTATCTGGGAGCTGAACTCGATGAGGAGACGGCCCACTGCAGGACACAAAAAAATTGGATGTCAGTGAGCCCTTAATTTGAGAGTTATTCCAGCTTTATTATATCAGAACAATAATCATTAGCTGTCTGTCCAGCAGAGGGAGTGCAAACATTTCTCTCAAGTCTCTCTTCCCTTTCATTGATCCACGGATCTTAAGTTGAGACAACCAATCGATAAAGCAGAGTAAGGCTTGATTACATGTTCACACAAAGACTTTGCGCGAGCCTTAAGACTAAAAGATTTCATGACTATACCTAGTCACAATCTAATCCCTATTTGCTGGGGAACTGACATAGTTTTGGCCGCAGGGACTTCTACAACACTCATTAGCGAAGGAGTCTTGTGTTTGCTGCTGAATATGCATGGAGGGCTGTTTTTAGGTAACTATGATGTTTTCTCGTCTTATATAGATACATTCTGTGTAAAAAAAATCTAATTCACAGCAAAAAAAGCCATGGTAACTGAATCAAACATGATATTGAAGAACAATATTACATCAGACATGAACATGTTACCTTTCAAGGGTGATTTTTTAGTTTTATGAAGAAAGCCTTTTTGTGTTCTGTAAATCAGCATATGTAATGCTTCTGAAAGATTGTCAAAGTGGTCTACAAGCTGGTTAGCTGAGAACTGGGGTTAAAAAAAGAATAAAGCTAAATTAACAAAATAATTAGATCTGCCAATAAGCTCTATACTAATTTTAGCACTCAAATGAATAAGATTAAATCTTCTCGTAGCAATTAATTAACAAAACATTGTTAACATTCATTAGTGAAAAAAGTGTTTTTGTTGTTTGACACTGTCAGAGGTAATTTAGATTTATTAGGTAGAAGTAGCAGGCCAATTAAAAACAAAAAAGCAAACAGAAGGAAAGCTCTGGAATGGTAAAAGCAAGGCTACTTCTTAAGTACACACTAAATATCAATGTAGAATTGACTTGTTTTTAAACAAGTTACTATCAACACTGCAAATACACATATAATGGCCATTACTGAGTTATTTATTGAACATATACCTGAAGTTAATCTATAAAAATACTAATAATTTTATATTACTTCAAAATTTAATAATTAGAGAGTATCCTTTTAAAAAACAGACATTAAAACAGACATACTAGTGTTGTCAAACTTAGGCGAGGCAGTGGCGCAGTAGGTAGTGCTGTCGCCTCACAGCAAGAAGGTTGCTGGTTCGAACCTCGGCTCAGTTGATGTTTCTGTGTGGAGTTTTATGTTCTCACTGCCTTCGCGTGGGTTTCCTCCGGGTGCTCCGGTTTCCCCCACAGTCCAAAGACGTAGTACAGGTGAATTGGGTAGGCTAAATTGTCCGTAGTGTATGAGTGTGTGTGTGGATGTTTCCCAGAGATGGGTTGCGGCTGGAAGGGCATCCGCTGCATAAAAACTTGCTGGATAAGTTGGCGGTTCATTCCGCTGTGGCGACCCCGGATTAATAAAGGGACTAAGCCGACAAGAAAATGAATGAATAAATGATATTCATTATTTAGTAAAAACAATAAAATATATTTAATTTACTACTATTTAAATGTTTGTGATTAATCCAATGCTTGTTTGTTTGTTTTTTTGTTTTGTTTTTTAAATAAGATTTTATATGCAAAGACATGCCATCAAATGAAAGCTGCCTTAGTGAGTATTTTTAGGTTCCCTTTTATTCAATACAACAACTAAACTAACTGACAAAAGTCTTGTTTTATGAAGAACAAATTATAACTTGATGACTTCTAGTTGATCATTTGGTATTAAAGTGGCTTACATGAAAGGCAAAGGCCTTTAGATTAGGATTTATGGCCAAAATATTTATGGCGAAGAAGGCATTCTTGCAGGACTCCCAGAGTTCATCAAGATTCTTTGGATTCATCTTCAGTGCCTCCTCCTTCATCTTACCCCAGACATGCTCAACAATGTTTACCTCTAGTGACTGGGCTGGTCAATCTTGGAGCACCTTGATCTTCTTTGCTTTCAGAAACTTTGATGTGGAGGCAGAAGTATGAGAAGGAGTGTTATCCTGCTGAAGAATTTGCCCTCTCCTGTGGTTTGTAATGTAATGGGCTGCACAAATGTCTTGATACCTCAGGCTGTTGATGTTGCCATTTACTCTGCAGATCTCGTGCATGCCCCCATACTGAATGTAACCCCAAAACTGTGATGTTTCCTTCAGCAAACTTGACTGATTTCTGTCAGAATCTTGGGTCAATGCAGGTTCCAATAGCTCTTCTGCTGTATTTGTGATGATTGAAATGCAGTTTAACAGATGATTCATTAGAAAAATCTACCTTCTGCCACTTTTTACAAATGATAAACTAGAAATTAAGTTATTATTTGTAGCTCTTACAACTTAAATCGACGACGGGACTTTTGTCAGGTAATGTACTATATACCAATAGATTCTCAATAAAGCATCCCTTTTGCATATAATTTTTTTTAAATCACAGGAGAAATATGGAACACAAGTGAAATGCAGTTTTGGAAAAAAAATTCATGAGAGCCCAAGTCATCAACCATGAACAATTGTGAACACATGGAAACATATGATCATATACAGCAGGCTTCTCATGAAAATGTCCCAAAACCACACATTTGACATTTTTAGACAGGTTTTATCATAAAAATCTGTTGTCTCTTTTATTATTTGTGGAAAGAAAAGTTGCTAAACAATTACTATCTCGAAAATTAACTCCAGAATGATTGAGTGTATTATGTATTTTGATTACTTTGTAAATATTTCAAATGAAATTAGGTCACAGTCATCAGCTATAAATGACCAAACATCGAGCACCTCTATGAAATCTGACCCTCGGACACCTGGAAGTGATGCAGCTTACAGAAACTGAGCTGACCTTGACAGCCGCAGCTCCTCATCACACCACTTTAGATGTGAAGAACAGCAGCTTTGTGTAAATATCTCATGGGCCGCTACGCTATTTTGAGAGGCAGAGGACAAGGTTCGGTTAAAAATACATTAACAGCTGATTGTATGCAAGGCCTACTGCTGCACCAACGCTTGTTTCCCTATTAGCCACATCCTTCAAATCAACAGCAGCAGGTCAGCAGGGTACAGAATGACTGTTTGCAGATGTAACTGACACACTGTGCCTTTCCGAAGATTAGAAATGTAACGGTTTGAAAATTTCATGCCAGGATTATAGTGACCAAATTGATTATGGTTATTAATATAACCACAGTTTTGTTAAAATGACCAAAAAACTAAGAGAATAAATGTCAACACACTTAAGGGCTTCTGCTAAGTTCTGTATCTGAATATGAACAAACAACAAATACAATTTGCTGCTTTAAGCAATTCTGTGGCCAACAACATAAACAGGGTTCTGTGCATATAGGCTTTGTTTACTTATGTTTGTATTATTTATTGTATATTGTTTTTGTGCTTTATGGCAACAACTAATTTGATTGTTTTAGCTCACAAAGGTCTGCTTTTACGCAGAATAGCATGAAGTTGCTTTATAAAAGCTAAAAGTTTGTGGGATATGATGAAAACGCCCATTTTTCTGACTGATATTGCGATTTGATTTGCAATTTAATTTTGTGAGGTCAAGCTTCAGCTTCCATATTCCCAATAGTTTGCCTTATGCACTTTAAATGAAAGGAATGAATGGAACATACTTTCACTGTATATATGTAATAAAGGCTAACGGCTCCCTGGAGATCAGAAATGAGGCAGCAAAGAACTGACAAACTTCAAATAATTTTAATAATGAAAATAAGCAAACTAAAGTGCGCCGACAGCTTCTCACAGTGACTACCGAGAAACTGAAAACAAAACAAACATAACTTTTTTCAGGCCTGATACTTCCTGGTCTTCCATATCTCTCCTCCTTTTAAGCTTCCAGAGCTCCTTAGTGAGACTCGAGACAGGTGGCGCACACAGGTGACAATTGTTAACACTCCCGCCACCAGCCTCGTTCTGTTCTCATAGCTCTCGGGCCCACCCCACTGGGTACAATATATTAATGTAATTATTAAATGTCTATGGCTAGGGATGGGTACCAAAACTGGGAACTTTATCGGTTTCGGTGCTACATTATAAAAGACCGTTCTGACGTTAACAGGTTTTGCTATCGGTACTGGAGAATTATTGCTGAATAAACATTATTTACAGAAGCATAATTTAACTGACTGAATTGATAAGCGGTATCGATAAAAGTAGTAATACAGTTAAAACCTTAAAGATACCCATCCTTATCTATGGCCCAATTCCAATTCAATTTTTGTAACCCTACCCCTTCCCCATGGCCCTTGAAACAGAGTGTGAAAGGGAAGGGCTTCAAAATGTAGCCCTAAGAAATGGGACAGCACTACAGCACCTGCACATCATATGTCATTACATGTCATCGTGAGCGCTTGCTTCATATGAGATCGACGATGGCAACTGCTGTAGTTATTCCAGTTGCTTTTTTTTTTGGAAATCACTGAAGGCATATATTTTGTTATCATAATGATATAATGTCGCAATAAGATCGTAACTGTACTGTGCATTTACACCGTGGCTGGCCATATTCATCAATGTAAACACACGAAAACAACATCCAGCCCCCAGACTTTTCTGACAAGTAATTAGAGTGTCAGAATGTTATGGGACTTCTATAGAGGAGTTAATATTATGGATTATAGATAGCGAAATTGGGTGATGTGGTGGCGCAGTAGGTAGTGCTGTCGCCTCACAGCAAGAAGGTCGCTGATCCCAGCCTCGGCTGGGTCAGTTGGCGTTTTGTGTGGAGTTTGCATGTTCTCCCCGTGTTCGCGTAGGTTTCCTCCGGGTGCTCCGGTTTCCCCCACAGTCCAAAGACATCCAGTACAGGTGAATTGGGTAGGCTAAATTGTCCGTATTGTACGAGTGTGAATAAGAGTGTATAAATGTTTCCCAGAGATGGGTTGCAGCTGGAAGGGCATTCGCTGTGTAAAAACATGCTAAATAAGTTGGCGGTTCATTCTGCTGTGGCGACCCCCGATAAATAATGGGACTA